AAGAAGAAGAAATACCAGATAAAGCATCCTTAAATGAAAGAGGCACAGAAGCCCCACTTAAAAATCCGAGATCACGAAGGCGAGCAACCGCCATAAGGTAAAAATACAAACACTAAAATACATGTAGATCTAAGGAGAAGAAAACCCTCAAAAATCGTAGAAGCGGAAGGGGCGGCGGAACCCTAGCAGAGCAAGCGACCAAAACATTATGTAATTTTTGATAAATTGTTGAGAAAAAAAAAACAAAAAAATCTTTCAATTTGTATTATCCTAATATCAATAAAATCAAATATTTTATTTGTATATTTCTATATTGAAATTATGTTAGAAGTGTTTTTTTTTTTTTTAATTTAGTCTTATTATTTATTTTGGTTCCAAAATATTGATATTTTTCTTTTCGGAGTATTTTTCACTTCTAACATTTATAAATTAGAGCTTTTATCGACTTCATATAAAAGAATCTGACGTAGCATCTTTAGGCTTTGATATATTCTCAAAAAATTATCTTAATCAAGCACGAATCTCGAGGAAGAATCGAACCGGAAACTTCAAAAAATAAATTCAAGAGCATCTGAACTCCGATTTCAGTGAGCTTATAGTCAAACTGAGCATCTCAGAAATACGAATCCAACGACACCAAATTCAACTCGATCCGAGCCCAATTGAGCCCAAATCAAGCACCCGAAGTGCTATTGGAAAGCTCGTATCACAATTTGAGTTACCAAACGATCTCCGATTTTAATGAGCTTATAGTCGAATCGAGTGGCTCGACGAGACGAATCCAACGAGCCCAAGATCGCTGAATTCCGACATCACTATGACCTTCAAATGTCCAACAAACGGTGCACGATCGAAGGATTCAAAATCGGCCGTCCATTTGACCACTCCCTATTTGCCCATGATCTCACACATATTTACAAGTAATGCAACTCCAGAAAAACTATAAATAGAGCCCTCATTCTTCACAAAAGGACTCAAGTGAGAAGAAGAGAAGAAGAAGAGAAGGGGGAGGAGAATCAGCTCCTCCTCGACCATCGTTGGAGTTCTTCCCGCCGCCTGAATACGCTGGAATTCTGTCGGATATTCGGGAAACGCCAAAATTATGCACAACTTTGTTTCAATTCAGAAGAAACTTATTGTAATCTGATCATCCTGACTTGTAGGACGAATCAGCTTCTTGTAATTTACGCAACACTAGTGGAAATTTTCAACTGGGCGCGGCCCCGTGGTTTTTCCCTCTTTCGGGTTTTCCACGTAAAATTCATGGTGTTCTTTTATCTCCTGTTTGTGTGCTGAATATTCGTACAACGCTCAGACTTAAAATCACAAACTCTACCGTCGCGTATATTCTAACCCACAATAGGCTTCATTTAGGATAGTTTTCTTAATGTTTTCTAAAATAATTTTTTAGTACAAAAATTTTTATTTCAATTTTTTCTTGCAATATATAAAAATTGTTTTAGAAAATAATAAAAAAATTGCCCCAAATAAAATCTTATAATTCAAGAAGCCCGAGCTAGACAAATAAAAAGAGAGCAACTCTCAAGTAAATTAAGTTTGTTAATAAATATGGGCTTATAAAGAAGACACTTTTTAATATTATTCAATATAAAAATATTTGCCGGCCATCAACTTTGAAAAGATGATTAAGTTCTTTCTCATCATAATATTCAAAACATTTGAGGTCAATGATACATTTCAAGTAATATGAATGGTGAGTAGAATAGATTATAAACTTTATTTATTCATATAAAAATATCCTTTAGCATTGTTTCATGCTGGAACATTTGAGATAGTAGAGAGATGAAGAGTTGAACATCTTAATTTTGTATGAAGATCGAAAACACATATAAATAAGAGAGATGTTCAAGAGTCATAAAAGACATTAGAATTTTTTATGTAGATATCCAAAAAAGGAAACAAATCATGGGATATAACATCGTTAAAACAATTCTATCAATGTTTGTTAATAGTTAAAAGGATGTCTTTCCTCAGGTGAAGGCGTTGGTATGACGTGTAAATATACATCATGTATTGCATATTAGATTATTGGAGTTGGAACTTGGAAGAATCCAATGGAATGATAATTTTCTCAAGAGAATGTTGGTTGTTCGTTTGGTCGGTAAGATCATAATCCGGCATAAAATGTTAGAGGATTTGAAGTTGGTAGGCAACGGAGGTAGGACAGAATGTAGTCAGCGGGCGGTAGTGGTAGGAGGGACCAAATTCGGGTGACTGAGGTCGAGAGGACCATTGTCAGGTGACAAAGATTAGAGGGGCAATAGCTGGTGAGTGATGAAGGTTTAATTGACAGTAGTTGGTTGGTGATGGTGATCAGTGGGATCATAGTTAGGCGACATAGGTTAAATTGATCATAGCCGGATGATTGAGATCACAGGGACATTTGTCAGGTGATAGAGGTCAGAGGGACCGTAGTCAGCGGGCATCGAAGGTTGGAGGGACCATAATTGCTGGGTAATTGAGGTCAAATGAATTGTAGTTGAGTTACAGAGTTTGATGGAGGCTATTTATTTAGGGACAAATGTTCGTGAAACAGTAGTCTACATGCGACGGTGGTCGGAGAGACCGTAGTCAACAGGCGACAGAGGTTGGAAGGACCATAGTTGATGGAGACGGAAGTTAGAGGGATCGTAGTCTGCGGGTGACGGAGGTGGGAGGGACTATAATTGCCTGGTGATGGAGGTTGGAGGGGCGCTAGTTAAAAGATGGAGGCAGAGGAATTGTAGTCTACGAATGATATATGTTGGATGGATCATAGTCAAAAGGCAATGGTGGCTGAAGGGCCCATAGTCGGGTTCTAAGGTCAATGGGATAGTAGTAGGGAGACAGTGGTTGTAGGGATCGTAGTTGTGCCACAGAGGTTGGAGGGACCATAATCAAATGGTGATGGAGGTCGGAGGGATCATAGTTAACAAGCGATAGAGATTGGAGGGACCATAGTCGGCAATTAACGGAGGTCGAATGGATAATAGTTAGCGAGCAATGGAGATCCAAAGGACCATAGTTAACTTACAGAGATCGAAAGAACCATAATCGAGCGACTGAGGACCAAGAATCTTAGTTGGCAGGCGACGGTGGTGAAATGACCATAGTCGGTGGGCACCAAAGGTCGAAGGGACCGTTTTCGGGCTACTGAGGCTAAAGAAATAGTATTCGGGTGACTGAGGTCGAAGGAGCTATATTCGGTAGATGATGGAAGTTGGACAGAGACCTGGCGGTGGCTGCTGGACAGAGGTCCAACCACGATGGTTGAGCGAAGGTCAAGCTGTGGTGAACGGGTGCAAGTGTTGGCCGACACTGGTGCCTAGGTGGAGCTATGGGACTCTTCTAACCAAAGAGCTCTATTGAGTCTCTAGACCAAAGAGCTATTTTGAGTCTCTAGCCTAGGATCAAAGCCTCCAAAGAGTCCCAACCCCTTTCATATGAGAAGTGGGGGCCTTTATAACTATCATGAGGGATTAAGTCTTACAACGATCGGAGAAAATATGCTTCAACCCAAAAATATTCTTTTTTATAATCATTTTTTTTTCTAAAATTCACTAGTCACAAATATAATCATGTCTTTATTTGAACCCTTTGACCTCTTGAACATGAGTCTAAGCACCAACCACCACGCCATTAATGTGGAGTATAATTTTGTAATTTATTTGTTAGCTGGTTCTCAACTTATGCTAGCTTATGAGCTGAATAATAGATTTGTACTGTTTTCAAAAGCTTTAACATATTTATTTCTCGGTTTTCTCAAACAATTATTTTAAAACTATTTTTTAGAAGATAACCAAACGAAGCCTGAGTTGATATGCCTCAATTGATGGGATTTGCAAATGAATTTAGGTCCTACCATTAAAGAGGATTGGATTCCGTAAGGCATGAAACTGTGGTGTTCATGATTGAAAAACATGTATGTGAGATTGAGATTTTGTTTTCGACAATTTTTTTTACTGTTTTTAAAATATTTTTTTAGTTCAAAAAATTTATTTAGTAAAATTATATTTAAAAATAATAAAAAAATCGTCTCAAACGAAGCTTGAATTGACAGGGATGGCATTTCCCATTTTTTGCTTAAGCATATAGATTTTTGAGAGGGAGGCTGCTACAAGCAATTGTGGCGTCTTCAGAAATCAATTGGAGTGATGGAGATGGGGTTCAAGCAATTATTGAGAGAGATTTTTTAAAGTATTATTGGCATTGGTGTAAAATTGGACCAGACCGTCTGATTCAACTGTAGATAGATCTCGTCTAGTCCACTTAAAGAATCACCTCCTACGGCAAGATTGTAAAACCGGTTTGATCCGAAGATTCCACTTTTAGCTAGTTTAATTACTACCCCATAAACAATTAAATAACTATTTTAATAAATTTAATATTAAATATTGATATTAAATAAATTAATTTACATTTAATATATTTTATTTTATAATTAACAATAAATTCCTATAAAAACCATCTGCTAAGCAAACATCTAATCAAATATTTTATTAGAGGACTGAGGGTGGCAATCATGATGGAAGTTGAAGGAATATTGAGATGTTAGAGTTGTCTTTAATAAATCTTTGTTGGTTTATTTGGTCATTCTCTTTAGAGGGGTAAATTATTGCGTCCGGTCACCTGACATGCGGATATCCAATCCGGACACGCCACCTCACCCGGATGCACTGGGCCCGATATTTTAGAATGACGTGGCGCGTTTTTATTGGTGTCCGGACGAATCCGGACACCGAACACAATAATTTGCCCTTTAGAGGAGGGAAAATCTAGACTACAAAGAAAACCAAAAGCCTTAGTATCAATGTATATTAAAAAATGTTACAAACACATCATAAACTATGGTGAAATGATTATAGATGTAATAAATTTTGATATGTTTTATAACATGTGAACCATACATTAATTTTCTTACTTAATTCTTACCACTCAGTAGAAATATAGCTTTAACAATATCATGATATCTTTCAAAATGTAATTTATTATATGCCATCTAATACTACAATTGACATTTAGGCTTCTTTTGAGATAACATTCTTGCTGTTTTTTAAAACAAATTTTTAGTACAAAAATTTCTTCTGCTATAAATTTTTGTATTAAAATTTTATTTTAAAAAATAATAAGAAAGTTGTCGCAAATGAAACCACTTTTCAATGCTTTCTACTGAATCTTAATCTCCATAATATGATGATAGTCTTGATGGCTCTTAATATTGATCCAGTGTTCAATTTTTTCTAGCAGGAGTAGCTATGGCCTTAAGTGGACAAGCCAAGACAAGTGTGACACCAAACTTCTCAGTGAGATCCAAATCAGTAGGCTTCATTCCGTCAGGCAAACTCCATTCGAAGGATTGAATGAGGGAAGCCAGCATGAGCTGTACCATCCGAACACCCAAAGGAAGCCCAGGACAGATTCGCCGCCCCGAACCAAATGGTATGAGCTCAAAGTGCTGTCCACGAAAATCAATCTCATTTCCTTCCATGAACCTCTCTGGTAAAAAGCAATCCGGATTCTCCCAAACCCGCTCGTCTCGGCCCATGGCCCAAACATTCACAAGGACCTGATTGTTCTTCGGCACCCTGTAACCATTTATCTCTGTACTCACCTCTGCTTTATGAGGCAATAAAAGTGGAACTGGGGGATGAAGCCGGAGAGTCTCCTTCAAAACTGCTTGGAGGAACAAAAGTCTTGAGATGTCCGACTCTTCTACTTCTCTCTCGAACCCGATGACAGTTGTGATCTCTTCTCGAGCCCTCATCATCAATTCTGGCCGGTGAAGCAACTCGGCCATCGCCCACTCCAACGTAGCGGCGGCCGTCTCACTTCCAGCAAGAAAAAAATCCTGATCAAATAAAAAAAGAACACACATCTTTCAGTATATACTGCAAATTATACTAAACTTAGGGTATCTCCAACCCAAAATCTCATTTTTCACATCAAATCAGGCTGAGATTGGAAAATGGTGTTGGTGAACAGTGCGACGTCAATATTGACGTTGCATTGTTCACCCGCAATTAAATAACAGAAGATTTGGCGTTCAACTGGAGCGACTGAACGACGACATAGACATATGACGCTCGCGCATGCAAAAAATAGTGTGACTAATCACCAATAGCAAGGATTTTATCATTCTTCTGTTGAGCTTGGAGTTGACTTCTCGACAGAGTTGAAGAAGCACATCCAAAATGTCGGGATTCTTCCTTCTACCTTCTGCCGTGATTGCCAATCTATTTTCTATCATTTGATCGAAGAAGTCGTATAACTTCTTAAAGTATACAGTAAATCGTCGTCTTCGACCTTGCATGTCTATTGGAGCCAATAAAGGGAAGAAGTCAGAGATGTTCGGTCTTCCGGCCTCTTCCATCAAACCCCACATAGTATCCTTCAACTCTTGAGCTGAATTAGATTTGAAATCTACCATATCAGTTGACAAGATTGTGGTCGATATGAGATTGAGAACAGTACTAAATGCTGCCCGAGCAATGTGCACCGCCGCCCCATTCTCCCCCCTTATGAAAGCGACAAGTTCCTCGACCTTTTTCCGGCGAAGTATTTGGGTTGCTTCGAGAGACTGCGAGTTAAAGAGATGGGTTTTGGCAAGAGTGCGGAGGTACCTCCATGATTGGTTTGGTGGCAACCATACAATGGAGACCTCCTCGTGGCCGAGAATTTTCACGGCATCTGGGACATGTCGATCAGAGATGGAGTGTTCTTTTGTTTTCAGAACTATTTTTGCGAAGCTTGGAGAGGAGACGACGACGGTGTGAATAGTGCCAAGCTTGAGAGACATGACTGGTCCATATGTCCGGGCAAGACGAGCCAAGGAGCGGTGGGGATTTTGGCCGAGTTCGAGTATGTTTCCCAACACCGGGAGAGGTCTTGGGCCGGGAGGAAGAGGTAACTGGCTTGAGGATCCACGTTTTGTGACTATTCTAAAAAGGATGGCGAGAGCTATGAAGAAAACTGAGCATAGAAGACCTTGAGTTAGAACTTCCATTTTCTTTATTTGCAGATGGGAGAAATATGCATAGAGGAAAGGCGTTCTTATAAGTCATGGGAGGAAAGCAAACCAACCGGACAAATTTTAGAAGATTTTATTATTTTAGAACAATATTACTTTTTTTTCTTAAAAAAATAGTATTGATATATCATCAAAAAATTATCTTGATCAAGCACGAATCTCAAAGCAAAATCAGGTTGGAAGCTTCAAAAATTAAATATGGGTCCATCTGAACTCCGATTTCAGCAAACTTATAATCGAACTGAGCGTCTTGAAAATACAAACCCAACGTCACCAAATTCAACTCAATATGAGCCCAAAATATTTCAAATCAAATACCCAAAGCACATTAGAAAGGTTCAATCCATAATTTGGATTGCCAAACAGTTTCTAAATATGTCATGCTTATAGTCAAATCAAGCGGCTCGATGAGACGAATCCAACGAGCCCAAGATCGTCAAATTCTAATATCATTAAAGCCTTCCAATGTCATATAAACGGTCCACGATCAAGGGATTCAACATTGATCGTCCATTCAAACAACTGTCAATTTAACCCCAATCTTTCTCCTATTTTCTAGCATGTCATCCTCAAAAAACTATAAATATCCCCTCATTTCTCTTAAGAGAGGACCTAAGTAAGGAGAAGAGAAGAAGAGGAGGTTAGAGAAGGAAGAAGCTCCTCCTCGACCACCGTCAGAGTTCCTCATAACTTTCAAGTGACGCTGGAATTCTGTCTGACCTTTAAGTGACGCCGGAATTCCATCCGACCTCCAAGTGACGCTAGAATTCCTCTTCGTCCAACCACCAAACGACGCTGAAGTTCCTCCTGACTTTTAAGTGGCACCGGAGTTCCGTTCGACTTTTAAGTGACGCCGGAATTCCGTCCGTCCTCCAAGTAACCCCGAAGTTTCTCCATACTTCCAAGCAACGTTAGAACTCTGTCCGACAAATAACGGACACTAGTTTTCCAACACCATCATTCTGATATCCGTTTGCAACTAAATTTCAATCCAAGAGTTGATTATTGTAATCTGATCGTTCTAAATTTTAAAGACGAGTCAATATCTTGTAACTCAACCAAACACTAGTGGAATTCTTTTAAGTGGGCATGACCCCATGGTTTTTCTCTTTCTAGGGCTTTCCACTTAAAAATTCTTGTGTTTTATTTCTCTTCTATTTGTTTCCTAGATATTCGTACAACGCTGAGACAAAAAAAATCAAACTCTATCGTCATGTATATTCTAGCCCGCAACAAGTATAGTTGCCCGTTTACGCGTAGAAATTATTTTGTGCGGACGCAGCTCTACGTCCGGATGCCACGATACCGAGTGGTAGCGAGCCGAGGTATCGAGCAGTGTCGAACCACGGTACACTAAATGGGGACGTGGTGCATTCTAATTGGTCTCCGGACGACGTTCAGTGTTCACACATATTTTAATTTTTTAAAATTTTTTCAACGCGTAGGGGAGAGATGCGGCCATCTATATAGAAGTGAGGCTAGCAAAATTTTGTTTATTTTAAATTTTTTCTTAATGAATTGTTAAGAAATTATATTTTTTTTAGGTATGAGAGTAATTCAAATGGAAAAAACTTGGTGAATTTTTTTAGCAATTTTTCGAGAAATTGACTTATCAAAATCCAGTTTTAAAACAACATTTTTTTTTTCACTTTGTTAGTTTGTTCTATTTTTTAACATATAATTTTATTTAATTAGTTCAATAGATAAATTCAAATTAGAAAAGTATTTTGAGTTTCCTATTAGAGTACTAGTTCAATATTTATTTCATTTTTTAACTTCTCTAATTTGAATTTACCTATGGAACTAATTAAATAAAATTATTGGCATGTCACCAAAACATAATCTTGATCACATTTCCATACATATTTGAATTGAAAACTTTCAAATTTAAATTTGAAACCATCCTAATTATAATCTCAATAAACTTATTGTGAAACTGAATATCTCGACAAAAAGAACACGACGACATCAAAATCTGTCAAATTTGAGTCCACATTGGCTCAAATCATCATCTCCAAATTTGACAAGCTCATAATCAAATCGAATGGCTCAACGGGACAAATCAAACGAGCCCAAGATCACCTAAATATGACATTATTAAGGAATTTAAATATTTTATGAATGCTTTATAATCGAGGGAATCAATATGAACAGTCTGATAGAGCACTCCAAATTTACTCTAGAATTTTTTCATATTTATAGAGAATGACACTCCAAAAAATTTATAAATAATGCTTCATTCTTCACATGAAAAGGGGGAAGGAAGCGAGAGAACAAGGGAGAGTTATCTAACTTTTTCCAGCTATCGTACGTTGCAACTAACAACCACCAGCTATTATCAACGACAAACACCATCATCACTGATGATCGACATAAGAAATCTCCATCATCTCTAGAGTATTGACAAGATTTAACCATCTTGCTTGGTATAAAAGTCCATTTGTGGACATCTATAATCTATTTTAGGAAAATCAAATTCTGATGTTGGGTATTAACTATCATACTTGATTTTATTAACTGTCATAATAGTACACAACTCACTTTGATTTACTGGTTAGAAATTTTGATTATCAACCAATAGATCTTGGGTTTAATACCTGTATAGATGATATGTGTGTAAATTTGACTTATTGATCTAAATAATAAATAAAAATAAAAATTATTTAATGGCCTTCAAATATGTTTAATTTCACAATCTATAGACTATAGGAATTTATTCTTCAGGAATGTATTAATATATTTTGGTAATTTTTAGAATCATTATCATGAATATGATATGTAGAGATTTATAATAATATAAATGCCAATGCATGATTCCAAACATGCCATACTTCTCAATAATCTAAAAAAAAAACAATATTGAATAAATCAACACTTTTAGGTCTTTATAATTTAGCTCTAATTTAACTTTAGTCGTAAAATTTTTAAAATTTCCAATTAAATATATGAAATATTGCGATTGTAGTAAAAAACATAAATGAAAAATAAAAAAGAAAATTGATATTTTATCAAAAATCATGTTGATCGGGCACATATCTCGATACATATTTAAATTAAATTTAGGTCCATATGAACTCCATTTCAACAAATGTATAGTCAAATTGAAAGGTTTGACAAGATGAAACCAATGATACCAAAAGTGGCATCATTTGATTTCGAATGAGCATAAATCAACTGCGAAATAGGATTGGCGATCAATGGATGAATGATTTACTACTTGCTTATGTTGAAAAAGAAATTTTGGATTCTATTGATAATGAAGTTATCATTCAACTGGTTGTTTTTAAACTACTAGAATTGGCATTGGTATTACCTGTTGCTACGGCCGGCGTTGAAAGAGCATTTTCTGCCATGAATATTATAAAAAATCGACTGCGAAATAGGATTGGCGATCAATGGATTAATAATTTACTACTTGCTTATGTTGAAAAAGAAATTTTGGATTCTATTGATAATGAAGTTATCATTCAAATCTTTCAGAATATGAAGAGTATATGTTATAAATTGTAAGTTGTTTACTATCTTGTATTTAATATTATATGTTTTGGGATAATTATTAATAAAAAAAATTTAAAACTGCCTATGCCGGTCCTAAGTTTTGGATTCTATTGATAATGAAGTTATCATTCAAATCTTTCAGAATATGAAGAGTATATGTTATAAATTGTAAGTTGTTTACTATCTTGTATTTAATATTATATGTTTTGGGATAATTATTAATAAAAAAAAAATTTAAAACTGCCTATGCCGGTCCTAAGCCCGGATGAAAAAAGTTGAGGGAAATTTTTACTAAGTTAATTTAGGCCCCCCCTTGATAAATTTCCTGGCTCAATATTATATAACAGGGAGCCCCACACCGAGGCGCTACGAGTCTAGCACCACAGTGTTGCAGACCGATTCAGTCAATTTTTATTTATTTTTGTATTGTGTGAGTTATTATGCTCTTCGTGATGAAATGTTACCAAAGAATACAAGACAGGAGTAATATCTCTATAATCTCTCTCAATTTCATAGTTGATTTATTGGTGTGAAGTGCCTTTGTAATTTTTCAAATTTTGCACAAAAAATTTGATATTCTTTGCACTTTTTTTTCTTATGTGTTTCTATTTTTACTCCCAACATTTTGAGATAAAAATATATATTGTTTAACAAATGTCTCGAGACTTAGGTTTCGTTTGGGACGACTTTTTTACTGCTTCTTAAAATAATTTTTTAGTACAAAATTTGTATTTAGAACAAATTTCTTACTATTTTTTAAAGCGGTTCTATAAATTTTTTTTACTAAAAAAAAAAAAAAACTGTCCGGAACTAAACTTTAATGAGTTCTTTCAAAAAAAAAAAAAAAATCTGAAAACGGTC